ACGCTGAGAAAGGGCAGGGTTTCCTCGTCCAGGTGCGCAGCTCTCCAGCGCGTCGGGTACTTCCGTCCCCCGTCAGCCGTGGGTGAGCGTTTCTGTTTCTGCACGTCCCCGACACAGCTGATACTGTTGGACTTAAATTTGTGCCAGTCTGATGGATGTAAAATGACGTCTCATTGTATGTTTGCGTTTTGCTCGTTACTAGTCGGTCAGGCACCTCTCACTGCATGTTCATCTCTTTGCTACTTTTCTGTTGCACTTTTGGCCTTTTTGTGGAGTTACTCTTTGCACACTCTGATACAAATTTGTTACCTGTATCGTCTCTAACATCTTTTTAAAATAATCTTTTTATTTGAAGTTAATTTTTTTATAGAGTCAAATTTGTCAGCCTTCTTTTATAAATTGTTTCTATTTTTTAAAAATGCGTATCTACTCTAAAGGCATAAGACTTTCTATATAAGTTTATTGTTTTTAATACGGTGTGAGAGTTAATTTTGTTTTCCAAATGGAAGGCCAGTTGTCCCAGCACCCGTCACCGAAGAGTGTGTTCCAGTGTGACACGCCTCTTCAGTGGTAGGGAGGTGCCGTGCGTGCCTGGGGACAGTCCTGTGTTCCTGTTTTGTCTCATTCCTGCATTTGTCATCTCTGCTCCGGATTCGCACTGTCTTCAGTACTGTTACTTTAGCGTGTGTCTTGATCTTCCTCCTTTCTTTCTCAGGATACCCTTGGCTATTCTTAGGGCCTGACTTTGATAAATTTCGGAATCAGTTTAAAAAGCCTGTGAAAAATTATAATGATTAGAGACACATTAAATTCGTAGATTATTTTGGGAAAAATTCGAAATCTTTACGAATTGAATTTTCCTTTTCATGAATATGGTATATGTTTTATTGTTCATTCATGTCTCATGTTTTTCAGTAATGTTTTGTAATACTCTTCAAAAAGCTCTTAACACTTCTTTTGCTAGATTTATTTTTAGGTACCTTTATGTTTTCTTGTTGCTGTTGTGATTTTTTTTAGAATTAAATTTTCTAATTTAATTCTAATTTCTAATTACTGCCAGCATATGGGAGAAATGCCACTGAGTTTTTAAGTTGTTTTTGAATCCAGCAACATCTCTGACCTGTCTGATCTGTTCTACTAGCCTGCAAATTCTTTTAGCTTTCTGTGCAGAATACTGTATTAACTGCAAATAATAGTTGTTTGTCTCTTCCAGTCCCACTACTTCATGTTTTTCTTGGTCTCGTTGTTCTGGATAGAATCCCTACCACAGTGACTAGGATGGGAAGTAGCAGGTGCTTTTGTCTTTTTGACTTTGGGGATGCTGGCTTAGCATCTTGCTGGTGATTGCTGTGGGTCTTTGTGGAAACACCTTTTGAATGATTACAGTGGCCTTCCATTCCTGGTTTACTAGGAGCTTTTTTGTTTTTAATTTTTTATTAGATCGTGAATGGATATTGACATTTCAGATTTTGTATATATGTTGAGATGATCATATGGTTTTGGACATTTAAGACCCTAATATGATGAATTTTGTTAATTATTTTCAAATATTAAACAGCCATTTATTTCATTCTTGAGATAAACCCTTCCTGGTTATGAAATACCAAGTAGCACATGCTGAATTGTATTTGCAAATATTGATTTTGGAGTTTAGGAATTTATTTGTAAATATTTTTCACATCAATGTTCAAAAGTGAGATTAGATTGGTCTATAATTTTCCTTGTTTTCGTCTGGTTCGTATGTCAAAATGATACTGGCTTTATAAAACAAGTTTGTTAGCTTTCTTTTTATATTCTCTGGAACAGTTTGTATAAGTTAGGAATTATTTATTTCTTGAAGATTTAGTAAAATGTGTGACATTCTTTTGGGAAATACACTATATGCATGTATATGTGTGTATATATATACATATACATATATGTATATTTTAAATTACCATTGTCCACTGCTGTAGCAGGTGTTCTTTAGCTACAGAACTTGAATCTAAATCTTTAGATGCACTTTTCCTCACAGATGCTCTCCCTGATAATCTCGCTCAGATCTGCCCTCTGAGGAGTGGTTAGCATTTGGGAAATGGTCTGTCTCTTTTGGCGACATACATTCTATACTCATTTTTTCTTTAATCTGCAGAATGTATACATTGTTATTTATTTAAAGTTTAATATTGTTTGTTTTGATTCATCATTACAGATAATTGAGGCGTTTTTTAATGTGTTTAAATCACTTGCAAACTGTTTTGTCTTTGAAATATTTTATTTTGAAATAATTTTGGGCTCACGGGAAGTCGTTACATCGCATGTCGTTATATAGAGTACAGTAGGGAGACTAGGAAACTGACATGGGCACAACGCCTGTGCAGTTAGAGTTCGTTTTGTTGCCTGTGTAGATCCCTGTAGCCACCTCTGCAGTCAGGACGTAGAATTATTTCTTCACCACAGCGATGTCTGCTGTGCTACTTCTTTATAAGTACATTTGCTTGCCTCCCCTCCCCTGTTCCTGACCGTTGGCAACCACTCATGTTTCCAGCACCATCCTCTTGTTATTTTGATGATGTCATGTGAGCGGAATCATACAGTATGTGCCTTTCGAGATGGGTTTTTTCACTCGGCAAGCTGTCGCCCCTATCGATAGACTGTTCCTTTGTACTGCTGAATAGTATTCCAGCTAATGGATGTGTCACAGTTGGTTTAAACCTTTGTCTATTGAGGGGCATCTTGGTTATTTCCAGCTTCTAGCTATTACGAATAAAGCTGTTGCAAACACTCGGAACAGGTTTTTGTGTGGATGTAATTTTTCATTTCTCGGGGAATAACTGCAGCAGTTGCTAGGTTGCACGGGAGGTCTGTGTTTAGGGTTTTTCAGAAACCGTGGGAACTTCCCCTCTTCCGTGGCAGCGGCTGCTTTTGGTTCTCGTGCGTCCGGTCCGCGGCGCTCTGCGTGGGCGGCAGGTGTACGCAGGTGTGTGCGCCCAGGGGCTGGCGGCCACATACGCCGGTTCCTCAGCTCTGCGTCTTAGAGGCCCCTCTCCATCGTCCACGCAGAACTGCTTCATTCCGTTTCCCGGCTCCGTGGTGTTCCGTGGCGCGGAGGTGCCACGTACTTGCAACCAGTCGGGGCGCCTGAGCGGCGCTTCCACTCTGTTTCCATCCTCGTTCTTTGCCTCTTCGTGTCCTCCGTCGCTTTCTCGTCTTCTCTGTTTGCACCTGCGCCAGGGTTCCGTTGTGTGCTGTGGGGCGCTGCAGATGCCTCTCTGAGAAGGAGGATTCACATTCACTCTCAGAGCCGTGTCGCTATTCTTCATGTGTCATAAATTGGGGATTTCAACTAATCTACTTTTGCAAAGAATTGTGTATGATCACTAATTCGTTATAAAGCTAATGAAGATGAGTTTAGGGGAATTCAGACTGTGACGCAGGGATTAGGAATTCCAATGGAAAATGGAATCTTTGCGAAGTTTTTCACATTTCATTAGACGATAAATTTTGGAGTGAAGTTTTATATACTTATTTGCTACTAAGTATATTCCCAAATATCAAGGTTAATAAACACTTATTAAAATAACGTATCAGGAAACGGTAATATTTTTACATAATACAGTTCTTTGATTACTATGCTTATTGCAACAGATATTAGCCAGCAGCCTCCTAGGTCTTCTTTTTAATGGGAAGTCTTTTTTTTTTTTTTGTAACAGGACTGAAAATAACATTTTAAATTTATCTCATGCAGTTTTATTAAAGTGACTTAAGAGCATGCAGGCATTATTTTTTAGTTAACTCTCCTTCCGTATTGTATTTTTAATTTTGTCTCCCTCTGTGTTGTATTTTAAAATTGGGGACCTATTGGTATATACTCCAAGAGCATTTCGTTGACTGTCTTGAGGAATTTTTTCTCAGATGAGACAGAAATTACTGTGCAGCTTCTGTCAGTATTAAAAGCAGATGAGCCGAATTTCTCGTGCTGTACTGAAGGTGATACTCGACATAGCTGGTCTCTGTATTATTTTATATACCCATCGACGTGTCTTTTTCGTGAACGCTCTCTACCCCAGACACAGCCCTAATGCTGAAGGTTTACTCATGTTGTCTTTTCTTGGTCATTCAAATAACTGTGGCCAGTGGCGGAAGTACCCCGCTTTCTTTTGGAAGGTATCGCCATCAGAGAGTCGGCCAAGGTCGTCGACCGAGCGCAGCGGAGAGTGCTCAGGGGCGTCGACGACCTGGACTTCTTCATCGGGGACGAGGCCGTGGATAAGCCCACCTATGCCACCAAGGTGGGCTCCGGGGGACCCGTGTCCCGGCGAGGGGCTGGCAGGAGGCGGGGCGTGGAGCGGCGGCCGTGGGTGGCGGGCGCTTTTCTCGGGTGCAGAGAGAGGCTCGTCGCCGCTGGAAGGG